CACATAGGTGGATCTACAAGTTCTTAGTCACCAAGGAGTCAGTTATTAGTCCTACCCATCGCACTTGTTTACCCTTTTTCTAGATATCTGGAAAGCTTCTTTTGTATGATTTCATTGTCTTTAAAGTTATTAGGACTTTACTAACAATTTAATAATCATAATATCAGTAAGAATAATAACAGTATTGATATGAATAGTATTAGAAAGAAAAGCTCATTTCCCCTCAATTTCAAGGAATGGGGAAATCAGGATCAGTCACTAGGACTACAGATAGACTCCTTGCTGGCTGACCACATGTCCACAAAAACCTACAAGAGGTTAAGATGATATTAATAAGAAATAATAATAACAATGCTCCTTTTGCAGGTTTTGTCCAGTACCTGCAGTTTATGTATCAACGTGGATGCCTTTATCGTCTTAAGGCGCTTGGGGAGCGTCACAATATGGATATTACAATCGAAGGATTTCACTCCTGGATGTGGCGTGGGCTAGGGTTCATTCTACCCTTCCTCTTTGTTGGTTACTTTTGGGAACTTTACAATGCATATACCTTATATCTGCTCTCCTTCACTGATAATGCTGAGTGGCATGTGAGTCCAAAAACTGTGTGATGGTTTTTACTTTTAATGCTAAGGTAACAAATGATATTACTGTCAATTTTTCAAGTGTAAAGTTGTTTCTGGGACAGTCAACTTTATTGGGTTAATAACTTGATAGGAAAAAAGTCAGTCTTTAGGATTCCTCATTTGTTCATTTCTTTTTTCACAGGTATCAACTCTTGCGGTCTTATTTTTTGTATTATTCCTGGGCAACACGCTTACTACCATTTCCATCATACCCCAGAAGATTAAAGAACGAATGAAATTGAAATACCGTTTCACACGCCTGGACAAGTATATCTGGACACATAAAAAGCAGAAAGTCTCATTCAGGTGGGATATGTGTTGCCTGTGCAGACACTTTTAAAGACTGCTCTGTGTGTGTGCATATTATAATGTAATTTTGTTTACATTTTTATTTACACACAAGTACACACATAGACATAGACATATGTTGTTCTATTATCCATATTCTTTCGTTTGCTGCCACAATTCTTCCTTGAATTTTTGAGGTTTTACTATTTTGTATTTTCATGGATCTATCCTTTGAATATAACACAATACTAATGTAGGAGATAAACCTG